TCCTTTTCTCTAAAGGAAAAGAGAAACGGGGAGACTGCTTACTTGATATGAAGGTGGCGAGAGAGCTGTTTGGCACACTAAGTGTAAGCTGCTTGTCTGGTCTGCTGTGCTGAGGTCTCAGGTGGGTCTCTTCCCAGAGGGGCAGTGGGGACAGGGGACTGGTCTTCCCAAAGGAGTACCCCATCCTGGGTTTCAGCACCATATGTTAAAACACAGGCTCTGAATGAAGAGACCCCCTAAACAGGCCTTATGTGAGCAACACGGCTGTTTATTCACTCGGGTGCGGGTGGGCAGAGTCCGAAAAGAATGTCAGTGGAGGGTGGAGGGGTAGGAGTTGGTTTTATAGGTTTGGGGTGGGCAATGGAAAGTTACAGAAGTTACAGTTCAGGGCGATTTTTGCAAGCTGGGAGGGAGTTGTAGGGTCTGGAGTCACAAGGTTGACCAAGGTGGGTTACAAAGTCCAATTGCCTTATCAGTTGAGGTGGGAATAAGGAACAATAGAATAATGTCTCAAAGTTAATTAGGTACCACAGGGGTTGATCATTTCTTCTCCTTTTGTGGTTTTCCAGTTACTTCAGACTGTCTAGTTCCAGAAACTCATCTGGAGTGCATGTGCAGGTCACAGAGGTTACCATGCTGTCCATGGCACAGTCAGTTGGCCTAAAAGACCTTACACCAATTTTGAGGGCAGTAGTTTGACCTCAGTTCTCTAATGGATCTAAGAAGAGTTGTTAATTTTTACTTTGTTTAGTTGTTTTTCTTTTGTGGATAGGAGTGGTGACTTCTAAGCTTCCATATCTGACTAGAACCCAGAAATCAAATCAGCTCCCTTTTCTCTCTCTCTCTTTTTCTTTTAGACAGGGTCTCACTCTGTCACCCAGGCTGGAGTGCAGTGGCACAATCTCAGCCCGTCGTAACCTCAACCTCCTGAGTTCAAGAGATCCTCCCACTTCAGCTTCCTGAGTAGATGGGACTACAGTCATGTGCTGCCATGCCCAGCTAATTTGTTTGTGTGTGTTTCTTTGTTTTTGTTTTTTGGTATTTTTGAGACAGAGTCTCACTCTGTTGCCCAGGCTGTAGTGCAGTGGCACTATCTTGGCTCACTGCAACTTCTGCCTCCCTGGCTCAGGTGATCCTCCTGCTTCAGCCTCCAAAATAGCTAGGACTACAGGCATTTGCTACCATGCCCAGCTAATTTTTGTAATTTTTAGTAGAGATGGGGTTTCACCATGTTGACCAGGCTGGTCTCAAGCGCCTGACCTCAGATGATCCACCCGCCTCAGCCTCTCAAAGTGCTGAGATTACAGGTGTGAGCCACCATTCCCGGCCTAATTTTTGTGTTTTTTGTAGAGACAGGATCTTGCCATGTTGCCCCAGGCTGGTCTCAAACTCCTAGGCTCAAATGATCCACCCCAACTCTTGACATCCCAAAATGCTAGGATTACAGGCATGTACTACCACACCCAGCCCTTTCTATCTCTTTTTCTGTTATAAGTGCCACAGTGTGTTGGACCAGCATACTGGAAACCTTGGAATAAACTCTGACTTTGCTCTGATTTTTCCATTTTTTTAACCTATTTTTTTATTTCTTTCTTCAAATTTTGTTTTTGCTGTTTTTTTTTTCTCTCTTTCTTTTGGCATTGCTTCCATTTTCTCCATGCCTTCCAATTCTTCCTTTTGAAACAGAGTGCCCAAAGTTGGGGGTGAGAAGAGGCTGGAGTCTACTTCATACGCTGATAACTAAGTGAAATGCCCAAAAGGCTGCATCCTTTCTAGGGAGGGAGCCTGTTTTTCTCCAGTTGCCAAGAGAAATCATGAGGGCTAGCCTACCCCTGAGCACACAATCTACTTAATATCCTGAAATACAAGTTTTGTGGCTTTGTCCTCTTCCTTGAGAATATACTGGATTTTGTCTACCGTAAAAAGTCAAGCTGGGGTATCACTGTGTCTGGTAAATGACTCATTTTTCCCTATCTAACAGGCTTATTTTCTCCAGCTTAAAGCTTCAGTTTTTGGAGTCACGTAAAATTTCAAATCACAGCTCTGCTACTGACTATGTAACTTTTAACAAACACTTAAGTATTAGGGACTTCAGTTTTCTTATCTGTAACTATATACTTTATTATTTATTTATTTAGCATTTGAGACAGGGTCTCAAATGCTAAATAATGTAATATAAATAAGTTATAATAATATAAAGTACATTAAATTTAAATTTTATTTACTTATTTATTTATACTTTGAGATGGTCTCATTCTGTCACCCAGGCCAGAGTGCAGTGGTATGATCTCAGCTCACTGCAGCTTTGTCCTCCAGGGCTTAAGTGATCCTTCCACCTCTCCCAAGTAGCTGGGACTACAGGCACATGCCACCATGCCTGGCTAATTTTTGTATTTTTTGTAGAGATGGAGTCTCACTATATTGTCCAACTGGTCTTGAATTCCTGAGCTCAAGCAATCTGCCCACTTTGACCTCCCAAAGTGCTGGGATTATAGGCGTGAGTCACCACACCTGGCTACTATATACTTTATAAGGTTTCTGTGAAGATTAAATGGGATTTTGTGAGCTTTTTATATAGTAAATACTCAATAGCACTTACTACAGTACAAATGGAACTTTTTTGCGATGATGGATGTGTTTTACATTTGCATTGCTGGGTACAATTACCAGTAGTCACATGTGACTATTGATCACTTGAAATGTAACTAGTGCAACTGAGGAACTGAATTTTTAATTTTATTTCATTTTAAATGCAAATATCCAGATGTGGCTGCCTAGTAGCTAGTGTAATAGAGTCACACAGTACTTGAAAATCAGTTGAAGGAGAAATAGGGATGTATTCCATCTCTGTTATTGTGCCTTATGATATTTCACTTTCCAAAAATGCATGCTTTCTTCTTTCACCTATCTTCATCTTTAATCTCTTTTCATTTTTCACATCTGGAAATTTAAGAATCAATTCAACAGCCTTCTTCTCCAGAAGTATTCCTCAGTTGATCCCAATCTATGTGTTTTCCATATCCCTGAAAATTGTACTGAACATGGGTCAACTTTGCACTGCCTAACAATATTCTTCTAACCTACCTTGTGTGATTGCTGAAACTTCCCAAGAGCACAGTATCAGGATCTGTGTGGCTTTTCTTTTTTTTTTTTTTTTTTTTTT